AGATTCCAATTTTTTAAAAAAAAAAACCCCAAAAATCATTACCTTTTAAAATATAAATAATTACCTTCTATAGGTTTTTAAATTATAAAAATATAAATTTTTTTTTTTATAAAAAAATTGTAATTAATCAAAAAAAGTTTTTTTTTTTTTTTTTCCTAAAATATATTTTCTCAAATTTAAATTTAATCAAATATTAAAATAGAATTACAAAAATTAACAAATTTATAGTATTTTAAAAAGGGTAACTATAATATAAACAATTTGTTCATTTGTTTATTTTTTTGTGTTTTATTTCGGTATATAGGAATTTTTTTTTTTTATATTTTATTTATCTTTGGAAATTGGTTGACATGTTCCTTTTTTTCATCATTTTATGGTTGTTAATATGTCTTTTTTTTAATTCATTTCATTTTTTTTTATAATAAACAAATAATATTTCATTTTATAAAAAAAGTAATTTTTATTTATTTTTAAAAATTATCTCATTTTACCACACACAATTTCTATTTAAAAAAAAATTCCACCACCTTAAGTGCAAACCCCACACACCAGCACTAATTGGTAATCTCCTTAAATTATGTATTTTGTTCATTTTTTTAATTTTCTTCATAACCACTTAATCTCACCGCCAGATCTTTCCTTTTTTTTTTTTTTTTTTTCCTCCACACAATAATCTTCGAGATAAAGTTTTAAAATCGTTTTGGATTGATTATATCTCAAGGCTATAATTTTTGTTTAGTAAATAGTTAGGTAAGTATAATATTTGCTAATAAATGTTTTGTATAAATATGTGTGTGGATTACTAGTTGTATTTATAAAAATTTCTTTGATTGAATTAAATAATATAATAATTCTATCATCACAGTTAATTATAAAGTAGATAAAATGTTAGTAAATAAAACAAAACACACACATGCACCTATACACACACAGTATCATTAACACACCATAAATACTAAACAAAACTTTAAATATCTTTACAACAACTTTTAAATAATACATATAAGGTATCATTTTTATATTTTAATTTTTTTTATTATTAAAAATTTCTTTATAATGTTACTTAAATTCATTATAATATTGTCATTTTTATATTTCATATTGTTATTTTATATAGATAAAAAATAAATTAGGGTTAGAATTAAAAAAAAAAAAGTGTGTTTTTGTGTGGTTATTATAATTTGCTATTTTTTTTTTTTTTTTAAATACATAATACTATACATATGTAGTAATTTTAATTAACACACAGTTATCATGATATTTTCAACCCTTTTTTATATAATTTTTAAAAAAAAAAATAATTAAAAAAAAAAGTGGTATTTTTGTTTTTTTTTGTCATTTATTAATTATATTTATATATTTTAAAATTGTTTTTGTTGTTAAAATTAAACTTTCATTAATATTATTATATTTGTAAAGTAAGAATTAACCCTTTATTTATAATAATATTTATTTTATTACTTTTTTAAAAAAAATATTATAAAAATAGTATTATTTTTATTATTATTTTTAAAAAAAAAATTTTATTTTCTTTTTTTTTTCAAACACCAAATAAATCAATACCATTTTTGGGAACATTAAATCTTCATTATCTTCATCAATAACTTTTGATCAAAGAAATCACAATAAAAATTTAAATTAAATATAAGCATACAGATATAATAATAGTATATAGCATAATAATAATCAACATATATTTTAATAGTAATCATTTGGAACAACAATGTAAATATTTTTAAATAAAATTGAACAGATTTTTTCGTATTTCTTATTTTTTTTTTAAATCAAAATTGTTCAATTTGAAAAAAGATTGAATTATCACAAACACAGAAAAAAAAAAATTTTTATTTATAATTTAAAAAATTTTATTTTTTTTTTTATAAATTTAAAAAATTTTATTAGTTGTGTGGTTTTTTTTTTTTTTTTTTAATTTCAGAAAAAACTATTTCCAAATTTTTTTTGTTATTGTTGTTTTATCACCACTATTACCATTATTCATATATAAATATTTATATTAAAACCAACACTAATATAATAATAACAATTTAATATAGAAATTGAGATTATTCAATATTTGGAATAATAAAAACTAATATTCAAAGAAATTCAGCTTTAATATAAATCAATATAAAAAATCAGTTATAAACAATAATATATATATAGAATAGTTTATAATAAATAATGAGTAATTTAAATGATGACACTTTCGATGGGGACGGTGGAATTTCAAATTCAAACAATTCAAACTCAAACCAAAATGCAGCAATTGGTAATAGTGGTGCTCAAGCAGATGGCGATAGAGAACAAGATAGATATCTCCCTATTGCAAATATAATTAGAATTATGAAAAAGGCACTTCCCAACAATGCCAAAGTTGCTAAAGATGCCAAAGAAACTGTTCAAGACTGTGTATCCGAATTTATTAGTTTTATTACAAGCGAAGCGAGTGATAAATGCCAACAAGAAAAGAGAAAAACTATAAACGGTGAAGATATCATAGCTGCAATGACAAGCTTGGGTTTTGAAAACTATGTCGAACCTTTAAGAATCTATTTAGCAAAATATAGAGAAAGTGAAAAAAACTCTAATGCCAAAAGATCACCAAAAAAAGTTGAAATGTCATCTTCACCACCCTCTTCACCACCCTTACAGCTTGATAATAGTAACAGTAGTTTGAACAATGGTATCAATAGTTTGAATGTGAACAACAACAATAATAATAGCAACAACTATTCACAACAATTCAATCAACAAAATTCAATTCCAATCAACAACAGCAACAATAGCATACCTTCAAACCCATCAGTTATGAACCAACAATCGCCTCATCCTTTTATGATGATGCCCCAACAAGTTCCAATACCACAACATCAAATGCAACAACATATGCAACAAATGCAACAACATCAACAACAACAACAACATCAACAACAACAGCAACAACAACAACAACAATATTCTAATAATAATAATAGTGGTAGTAATCAACTTCCACCTTTATATCAGTCATACTTACCCAACTCCACCAACCAAAATAATAATCAATCAGATTCTTATTCATTCGAAAATTAAATTTAATGCAGAAAAAATCATATAAAATTTTTTTCTTTAATTTTTGTAAATTTTCATATATATATATTAAAAGAAAAAAATCAGTATAAATTTGTAGAAACTTAAAAAAACCATATATTATTTACTTTATAAAAAAAGAAAAAAAAAAAAAAAAACTGTTCAATATATATAACATATATAATATATATAAAATTATAAAAACACTCATATATAGAAATAACTGTAAAAACAAACCAAATATAACATTATCATTATAAAATATATAATTTTATAATAATTTTTAAAAAAAAAATAAATAAATAAATAAATTTTATTATTTAAAAATAAACTATTTTTTTTTCTTTATTAATTTTATTTACATTTGGAATTAGTTTTAAAACTAAAAGTAAAAACGGAGTTAATTATCATTCGGTCTCCATTTGGATTTGGACCCTTCATATCAATTGATGAACCATTATTGTCATCATTTTCTAAATCGATCCTGCTTAATTTAAAAACAGAGTCAATTGCTTGTCTATTTGAATCCAGCGATGTGATAGTGTCGTCTTTTCTGTCGATTAATAAAATAAAATGGCGGCCAAGTAGTTCATCACTTTTGTCCCAAACATTAAAAGAAATAATTTTAATTTGATAAGGTTGTGGAGTTAATAATAAGCCAGAGTCCAAATCGTTCCATTTTTTTGAAATATATGGACATGATCCGTCTTCAATGGTGTCTGGTTTTTTATCTTCCCTCTTGAATGTATCCATGCAAAGGTTTAATAAAAACTCGTTATAATCGACTCTTGAATCAAATTGAATATCCTCTAAATATTTATATACTAAAAAATGAAATAATTGAATAACCTCTAAATTCGATAAACGTCCTTTTGAGAGCTCTGTAATATTTTGAAATGTTTCTTCAAGAGCTTTATCTATATTGATTAATGGTCTTTTAAACATATTTAAAATAACTTGAATTGTATTTACCAATAAAACAGGTACACATGGACCACCAGCCTTATCATCCACAAGTGCTAGATAGTTATCGATAAAAGCTAAATTATTATTTTTATTTGGTATGCTACGTAGTGCAATATCAGGATGACCCTCTTGTTTCTTATTTGATTTGTCAACTGCCCATTTCCAAAATCTATCATCATAAAAAGTACGAACAACTTGTGACCGCATAACACTTGTGGTTCCATCTGCTATCCTTAAACCCTGTAAATCGTTAACTCGTTGACCCAAATCTGTAAAGCTTGTACTATAGCCATCAGCCCCATGAATCTCCATTGACCAATCGCATGCTGATAATGCAAACTCGATACACTCTGCTTTTGCCATTGGGACATATTTACTAATTTCTTTAAAGCTTGCACCCTCATCAAACATTGTAGCAATCTTTTCTACCAAAAGAGAACCCATATAAAGCTTTGCTGTATGCTGTGCTAAATCTTGTTGTAGGTGAGTAAATCTACCAATTGGACCACCAAATGCATCCCTTGAAAGCATTCTCGAAGCAGCTTGATCTAATGCACATTTACCAGTACCAATAGCGGCTGCAGATTGCATCAAACGCCAATACAAAAAGTGCTTATGGAAAATTGCTACACCATCACCTTGGTTACCAATTAAGTACTCTTTGGGAACATGCATATCTTTAAAAGAAACCCCTCCAAATGAGTTACCTAGTAAGCCTTGAGCATTGAACGATTTTATTTCTAAACCTTTATGATTAATTGGAACTAAAAAAACATTTATTGATGGTCCATCTTCATTTAACACATACAGTATTATATGAGTTGCTTGTTTTAATCTTGCATTAAACCTTTTTTCACCATTTAAAATAAAATCACCATTTTCATTCTTTACCGATTTACTTTTCATTGCTTGAAAGTCTGAACCACTGGTAGGTTCAGTAATAACAATGCCCACATATGCCTCACCCTGAACCACCATTTCTACTACTTTTTTTGAATGTTCAGATTGATCACTCTCTTTTGTTGCTAATAATGAACGAACATGGGCACCACCTATAACATCTCTAAAATTTAAATTGAATTTACCCATATGTTCATAGATTTTTATAACATCCAAAACTTTGAAATCACTTCCACCAAATGATAGTGGTAAATCTATACCAGTTAACCCAAATTTTGATCCTTCTTTTCTCCATCGTAATGGTGAAATATATTCATCTGTATTCCTTAACCGCTGTTCTAATTTGTTGCATTCTTCTATAATATATTCTGCTGTTATACATATATCTTTTTTATTTGATTCCATTATTTAAAAAATTAAAAAATAAAAACTATTTTTTTAAAAGATTCCACCAAATTTCTTTTTTTTTTAAAAAACTAAATTAAAAATCAAAGCCACCCACCAAAAAAAAATATAAAGAAAAATAAAGAAAATATTTTACATCGTAATAATTATTTATTAAAAAAAAAAAAAGAAAAAAAGGTAAAAAAACCTCATTCGATATTATTATTTTTTTTATTACTACTAAATTGTGGTTGTTTGGGCTGATAATCTGACCAATGATAAACTAACTGAAAATATTACACCAAAAACAATCCCCATTTTGGTTGTTCTTGTAAGATACTCTTTGGTAATCTAATTTTAAAAAAATAAAATAAAAAATGATTTAGTGAATGATTAATTATAAATTTAAATTGATATAATAATAATTACCCAAAATAATGAAATTGGTCCAAAGAAAAAACCGAATAGTAAACCAAAAGTCAACTCGATAGAATCTCTTACAAAAGGGCTACTACTACCAAAAACCCTATTGGGTAAAGTTGTAGTTTGTGCTGGAGGTGATTCCAAACCTAACTGTTGTCTGGATCCCATTTCTATAACAAATTCTGGTGGTATATATGAATTGTTTTGAACCCTATTATTGGTTGTTGTTGGTGATGTTGTGGCAGTATCTGTGCCATTATCATTTGGAATAGCTGCCACTGTTGGATTTGAAAATACTATTGGTTCGGTAATTGAGCAAATAACAACACTTCCAGTTTCTAATTTACAGTCGCTTAGAGTCATTGAGTCATCTCTTAGCATTTTCCCATTATATATTATTCTTAAATTGTGTTTTGGTTTATTTTTTATCTTTAGTATTGAGGATTTTAATAAATGAACTTTGTCGCTTGGTCTTAATTCTATATATTCTACTGGGTCCTCTGCATTCTTAACTGTAATCTTTATTTTATCCTGTTGTAATTTATTATTTTCTTCATTTATGTTATAAAGCGGTATACCAACACTTGTATCTTTATTTTCATCTTTTTTTAACTTTTCATACATTTTAAAAAAAAAGAAATAAATTATATTATACTATTATATTATATTATTATTATTACTATTTATTAGTTAATTATTTTATTTTGTTATTATAAATATAGAATGTATTAATTTTTATATACAAAAAATATCTTTTGTTATTATTTATTTATTTATTTATTTTACATAATAATTTATTTTTTATTTTTATTTATATATTTATATATTTATATATTTATATATAATATATAACATAATATACAACATATGATATATATAATTTGTTGTTTAAAATAATAAATAATTAATATTGGCTATTAAAAAAAAAACTTGTATGTAAAAAATTAAAAAAAACAATAATTTAAAAAAAAAAATAATAAAAAATAAAAAAAATTTATAAAAAAACAATAATTTTAAAAAAAAAAAAAATAAAATAAATTCATTTACAATTGATATTTTTATTTAAAATCGACGTGACCTGCACAATAAGATTTGAAAATTCTCACTTTTTATTGAAATTATTTATTTGGCACTATCAAAATACAATTTTAATCTTTTTTTTTCGATTGATGACGGAATAGAAAATAAAGAAAATAGGAATAATAACAATTATTTAAAATAAAAATAAAAATAAAAATAAAAATAAAAATAAAAATAAAAATAAAAATAAAAATAAAAATAAAAATAAAAATAAAAATAAAAATAAAAATAAAAAAAGATTAAATAGAAATAAAAAATATCTATTTGGTCTATTTATTTATTTATTTATAAATTAAAATATGAGTTTGCCATTTTAATATCAATCGATAAGTTTTTTAATCCTCCAATATCTAACATAGTATATATTTTACTTAAAATGTTACTTACTACTAACTTAATTTATAAAACACTCGCGCCAACACACCCATATATTTATATATATAATGTATTAATAATATATATTTAACACACTAAACACACTCACACTAACACACACCCTTTAATAAATAATTAAAAAATATTTAACACAAAACAAAAAAATTAATAAAAAGAAAAAATTATATTATTAATTATTTTTTTTTTTATTTTTTCAATTATTTTTTTTTTCCAATATATAAATTAAAATTTTGTTTTTAAAATTTTCTTTTTTTTTTTTTTTCTCTCTTTCTTTGTTTATCAAACTATATTTTTTATATTGCTGCAAAAAAACAACAAACATATAGATAAAAAAGTAAAATATTTTCTAAATTTTATAAAATTTTCCAAATCTTTATAGTAATAATAATTCTCATAATATAACAACAACACAA